TGCGCTTTATTTGAAGAAGAAAAAGTTTTCTTTCCTTTTCCTCGTTTTCACATTTTTATATGCGTCTTCTTTCTGTGCTCCTACTGTTGCTATTGATGATGATGGAGGAAAAATCGACATACAATTTGATTCAGTGCTAGCTTGAACACTACATTTTCCTTTTATATCGATTTTATTCGACCCCGATTTGTTACAAATTTCCTACTTACAATCTGGCTGCATTCCATACTTATTCTTCATCTTATGCTGCTCAGCAAACTCGATGAAGGAAGGAAAATTTATGTAAAATGTTGCACTTTGTAAGCTCAATGATATTTCAGGTCAGGTGTTTACATATCGAATCTTGTGCTTTATATTGTTGTGGGTTATTTCCTGATTGACATTGTAGAATATATTTTAAATTTGTCGGTAACTGATTTTTGGTTTTTAATGTCGTTAATGTCTGATTTTCTTTGGGGTTTTATCAGGCGACTCATTGTTATGTTTGATATGTTGACCCTATTTTCATGCATTGAACTGATCTAATGATCACTATAAAAGCAGACGTTTCTACATTAAGATCCTGAACAGACAAAGAGCATGCTCTCAATGAGTATGCTCACTTAAATGTACTGATTGAGTTAATCTTTCTTTTAATCTTTCGTTTAATCTTTGTCTGTTAGGGGATGTGGTTTACAGCTCACCATTTCCTTAAAATTCATTACTAATGAATTTAAACAACGTTGCAAAATATTGAAACATCAATTTCATCAGCAGGACAAAGAACACGATCCAGAAAAGATGTCAGCAACAGAAATGACGCACTCAATTCTGTGGCCATCAATTTCCCCACCAACATCAATAACAGAAATAATGGTAGCATCATCAGACATTATAAATTGAATTGAATTGGATGGAAAGTGTAGAAGAAAAATATAAAACAAGATTGTGGCGAAGAGAAATAGACCAAGCAGCAGTTGCAGTAGAAACACATCGTGATTTTCAGGTGCAGCATGAAATTAAATTGGATGATAAATATTTATTTATTTTCATTCCGATTTTCTGTTCTCTTTTTTTTTCTTTTGCTCTCTATTCAACTTCCTTTACAGTTTTGTATGGGTCACGCTCGAGTGAACGTTGAAGGAAATGAAAATAATTTTCTACCTAACAATAAAAGTTGCAGTAACAGTAGCAAATTGCAAACTGCAATGGACATACAATAAAATAGAAGGAATAAATTTTATAGAAAAAAAATCTCAACAGCATCAACAAACGACTGTTACTATTGCGAGAGTAGCTGCTGCAATCTCAAATGTCTTTTTAAAATTCTGTTGAGATTTATTGGCATTCGTGATATAATGGAAGATTAAGACTAGCTTGTGAGGAAAACGAATTATTTGTGGATCGTTCACGGATGACGTGTGGGTTTAAATTGGGATCGATACTCTCGATCATGGGACGGATACTCGAGACATAGGACGGATGTTTCACAAAATTTTCAAAAATTGACGTCACTCGTGAATGGTTTCTTCAAGGTACGAAGATTTTTCTATCTCGTGTTTAAAAATAAATTTTATCCATCTATCCATCTACTAGTCCCCCATATATCTCTCTGTTGTAAATCGATATATGTATCAGATGTTTAATATTAAAACAAAGAAAGGATATGAGAAACAGACTGTAAATACATAATTAGGGTTATTTGTTTCATCATCTTTTTATTCTTTATTATTTCCTGTCCCACATATCCACAGAGCTATGGTGAAGCTTCTTATTTTCCATCGGTACTAAATGTTTATTTTAAGATTCAATATTTCATAGAAATGAGAGCACTGAATATAAGGGAATTTGTTTCAATCGATTCTAACAAGTCTTTAGAGAATTCAATCGATTAAGGTTGCATTGTTGAAACTTGTCGTTCCGTTTGGATCAGGGATTTATTTAAACTGATGAACTGAGCTGCATTTTCATGAATCAGCACTTTTCGATTGGATGTTGCTCTCATCACTGTGTAATAAAGTTCAACTTGTTAGAGTTTGGCATTTCTAAATGTAGATCTCCCTATAACTGTTTTATGTGTTGACTAATGTAAAATTCTAGGGGAATCGAACCCACGACCTCTAAAGAGAAGATATCTGACCAATCGATCAGAGATCTTTGCCACTCGGCCACCGAGGTACTTATCTCAATTCTGTTATCCGTCATCCACATACAACCAGTTTAACGCGAGCCCTATCCTCAGGCCTATCTACTACAGATATCCACACTAAATTCATCTTCACATGCCAAATGATGCGTCAGCTTAGTATAAGCTTAGTTTGAAACTTGTGCTTTTAAACATTATGTTTTTATTTTCCACGAGTTTGCTTTTGTCTTTCAAGTTGATACTTTAATTGAAATTTTACAAAACATGTTATACAAAGTAATTACGCCGCCAGATCAACATTGTCGTTCGAGAATTATGAAATTAAACAAAGTTTGATAAAAAAAAAATGCAAAAAAATTACATTTCATTATTTTATTTCTGAATGCACAGCCCGAAGCGATTAAACAAGTTACTTGCTATATTACATATCATTCGAAAAACTTTTTTTAATGCAACAACGCGTATAATATTAAAATTAAATTGTAGGTAAATTTCTGATGAATTGGGAATATTTTATTAAAAGGAATTCACATGTAAATCCCATTTATATTTATTTATAATTCCTGGTAATTTTTAAATATAAATAACTGTAACGCTTAAATCTTTTCATCTTTCGTCATAAATTTTTTCATTGAGTTCATTTCATGAAAGTAATATTCCATAAAATATCTTATACATACGAACTTTGACATGTTTATTGATAATCACGAAATCACAATACAAATTTCTGAAATGTTTTCATCTTACTGCTTTTTTTTATATTAACTTGTTGTTCCAAAAGTTTATTGTATTACAATCACACTTCTGATTTTATGCAATTTTGAAGAAGAAGAACAAAAGCGAACAAGAAGAAGAAAAATCGCATGACTAACATTGGAACAGCCAGAAAGAAAAACACATCTATGCGTCATTTAAATCAATTTCAATTATCATTCTTTATCTGGAAAATCAATTTGAGAACTTTATAAAGTTTAAATAAAATATTTTGCCAAAGATGAAACATCAATAGATGAGCAAGATTGGCCGAGCGGTCTAAGGCGCCAGATTTAAGCTCTGGTTCCCATCTGGGAGCGTGGGTTCGAACCCCACATCTTGCATTTATTTTTTTGATTCTTTTTTGTAAGTTTTATATTTTTATGCTTTAAAAATATTTCTTCATGTTTTTTAACAGTTTTTAAGCTAAAATGCACTCAGCATAAGCATAGAAAGCCTCAAACAATTAGATTGGCTCAGAATAAGTTTGAAGAACTAGATTTTTATTCACAGGAAGCTTCACGAATATTTCTTAGATTTATTTTTGATCAAGTTTTAATCTTAAGATTAATTTATTCTTAATTATCTTTAATCAAGGTGCTGTTTATTAATGTTTCAGCTGCATAAAAACTTTTGGAAACAAAATATTTCATTCATTTGTTAGCATATTAATCATAATTTTAAATTGATTCACTGAGTTGAGTAAGAATTGGATTATTTTCAGAATTTAAATTTTTTTAAAATATATTTAAGTATTTTTGAATTTTTAAAATGGTTGAATATCGTCGATTGAAGCTGTAGAAGTGGTCAAAAAATTGATCGCAAGATTTGAAACTTTTTTGCAAACAAACAGATTTTAAGCAAGTTAAGAAAAACATGGTAATAATAAAAGTCGCACGTTAGACTCTTCCATACTTAAATATTAAAAACTATAAGTGAATAAACTCATTCAATATTCAATCTAACACACGAATTGATGATGCTATAGAGCTAGAACTCAAACGTAATTGATTGCATCGTTCATCGAAATTGGGATTTTGGAATTTATGAGCAATGAGTAATCTGATCAGGTATTTCCCATAACGATTCAATTGTTATAAAGAGAAGAGGCTCATTCTCGTACTGTAAAGTGAATAATTTTTTTCATTCGTTTCTCTCTTTTAAAATTCAAAACATTTCATTTGAACCAAAAGTGAACATATTGATGAGTGTAATCTGGATTTTAGAATTTATTTTTCAAAACTTTATTATAAATCCAGCCAGACTCCGTAATCTATTACAATAGAAAATGAAGAAGACTTTTTCACTTTTTGTAATACATTTTAGAGATAGAGCTTCAATGCTGACATATGAACTAAGCTGGAGGACTGAAAGATTATAATAACAAATAATGATTTATTATTTGAATATTTTAAGGTTTGAAAGCATATTTTTACATGCCTTTTCAAAGATATTGTCAGTTTTTGTAGGCGTCAACGCAAATTATGTCAATAACATGCACTAACATGATAAAACATGTTAATAGTCATCAAGAGTATATCAAAACCTTCAGCTATCCAAAATACATTGTCAGAGGCTTTCAATGGCTAAAATAATTGCTTGAAAAATTTCAAGCTTTGTGCCTGACTGTGACTGTAAGACAATATTTTAAGATATTTTTTGGTATTTTTTAACCAACAATAAAACAAACAAATTAATATATTTTTAACCCAAAACAGTAAACTTCAAGTGCAACTGATGCGTTTAAGCAAAGCATCTAAAGTACCTGACCGCAAACAAAACCATCTGCCTCAACTTTGTAGTATCTCAACATTCTCACATTTTCTCATTGTTCACTCTCAAATTAATTTTTTTGAGCATATTTATACTCGTTTGTTTACTTGATTAAGAATGAAGCACACAAGAATCTCAAATGTAGTTTCTCTTGTTTGTATTTTTCTTTATTTAATTCTCATTCTGCAGCTTTCAGTTATCATTTGCAACTCATCGCTGAAAGTTTCACATTTTGTGAAATTAAAAAGTTTTCTTCTTTAACTTTATTCGAATTTATAAGAACAATTTTCTTTGTGCAATAATTAACTTAATGATAATTAAAACTAAAAGTTTCAAGTGTAATTAGTTCAATTTATTAAAAGTGCAATTTCTTATTATCAAAAGTGTTCTTGCAACAGCATCTTAACCTCGAGGGTGAAATTTTACCGACACTATCAACTTGTTATAATTGTGGGAATTTTGTGTGAATGAAAGTAGCTTAAGTTATATAAAAATAATAAAAAAAAATTGTGTCTGGAAAATCCAAGCATCACAATGTCAAAGATCATCACAACATTATCTCTGTTTTTGATACCGTTGATCATATGTGAAATACAAGGTAATGAGAGTTTTATTTCTCGTAGAAAGTTGAGATAATTTTAAGATTGTGTTGTGAGTTCATGTGGCAGGGTTCACTGATTTTATTCTCAATGTAATTTTTTATGTGCGTCACAAGTTGTCAGAATCATAGACAATCTAAATAAATGACGGTATTTGAATTTTGGCATTTATGGAATATAATGAAATTTACTCAATTGGTTAAAATAATTTTAAAACATAATCTGCCCAAAATTTGAAGTCAATTGGAATTTTGTATGATTTTTCATTTTAGTCTATTTCGAATTCTGATAGAAAGCTCTGTTTTTAACATTCAAAAAATGGGTTCCTTTCCCGAGTAGCAGCAACAACAACAACAATTAATTTAACGCAAAGGTGCCATAAAGTAGAAAAAATTGCGCTAAACCTAGGTTGACCAGATATTTTTTGAAAATGTGAAGGATCTGAAAGTGAAATTGAGGACATCCTACATGTCTTCCAATTTTATTATTCGTTTTCTGAACGAATTAGACTAAAGCAAAACTATTTTAATTTTGAAAAATGAAAAAAAAAATAGAGGGTTGTCCTTTGAAAAACTAAGCAGATAGTAAACCTAGCTATACCGCACTTTCATTGCTAAAATTTGTTGCTGTTGTTGCCACTCGGGTTCAGGTTCAGAATGTTTAGAATATCTAGGAAAAATCAACTGACAAAATTCCTTGATCGCTATGTCACATTTTGTACAACATATTAAATAATCGGGAATTACCCCTGATAAGTTGAAGCGTTGTCATCAAATAGTAAACAAGATTATCATTTTGGCTATCATCTCCAACTGATTAGTGTTTCAATATTTCCTGCTTATGCATTAGAATATAATTTTTGTTTCCTCTTTTGTTTCAATGTTGTTGACTGTTCCTTATAAATTGTAAATTTTCCCGAGTCACACAAGTAGGATAATCGAGACGAAATCCTATGTCAGGATGACACCACGCCATTGGAAGCAAAGTTTTTGTCATGATGAGAATTTTTGTCCTCAAGTTGTTCTGACGCAGGATTTCGTCTCCATTATCCGACTTGTGCTATTCGGGTTTTATACTCAACATTGAGAGCCAATCAATTTCCTATTGAGACGTTTTTGTTAAGAATATAATCAAAATTTTCAATGTACTCAATTAAAATAATTTGCTTACAGAACTTCATTCACAGATGCAAAAAAATAACTAGTTTTAAAACTTAAATTCCAATTAAAATTTGAAAACTTGTTGATTAGATGTTAGATAATAGATTTATTAAGGCTAGTTAAAATTTTATTATATTTATAAGTTTTGCTGCAATTTCTCCTTGACCGACATTTCAAAGTTGCAGCATAAAATCATGTAATTTCAAGAAGATGCTAAGTTCCATAAAGTTTTTATCAACATAGCATATAAGTTGAGATTGCAACAAACAGACAATATCCTTGAAATTTCCACGTAAAATGCAGATATTCTGCAGCATACCAAAAAAAAATCTGCAACTGTCAAGTTTGATAGTCACAGAAAGAAATCACGTCTATAAAAATCAGTGTTTACACCCAGTTATGACTGAATGTAAATTGAACATCTAAAATATTGTCCTTTACATTTTTGCAACAAAACAAATTTCATCGCATGTCATAAACTTGTTTTGAACGAATGTCATCTGACATATACAATAACATATTTTTCATGTATTTTTTTTATGAATGACATAAATGTAGGTGTCCCAGGACGAATCGATCCAGATTGTATTACACCTGATGAGAAACCTGGTTCATGTGTTGATGTACGTTATTGTGTAACAATTATGACAGCATTACTGAATGGTGACCATCTAACAAGTGCTGAGATTGCCAAATATTTGCGTGAAAGTCAATGCGGAATTGAAGCAAATTCGCAAAAAGTTTGTTGTCATGTCGAGAGCATAGATTTTGGCGAAGTTCCAACAGTTGATTCAAATCCAACTGAAGCTCCATTGAACAGTCCCATTCCGACAAAAACGCCAACATTAAATTTACCAGCAATACAGCAACCACCACCTCTGCCGACATACAATCAGCAACAGACAACGATTTCAGATCTTGAAAAATGCGGAAAATTGGAACAACAAGGAACACCATACGAATGGATTGCTGAACTTTGGTATAAACAAAACAAGCTTGGTAAAAATTTTTATGAATCAAAGTGTCTCGGTACGGTTATATCACTGAAGCATGTCATTGTGCCAGCACATTGTGTCGCTTCACTACCTGCACATATCTCGTTGTAAGTAAATTTTCCATAAACTTTTTTTTTTACATGTGGCAGGGGTTAAAGGAGTAGATTAAATTACACACAGAGATAAAGCTTATTTGCTGTTGCTTAGCAGCACATGTCCTGGGCATTGAATGATGATGGAAAAAATTGGTTCATTGTTTTTGTGTGAATATAGCATATTTTTCTCAATTAAACAAAGTTTAAAATCATTGTTAGCAACTTTTGTGGTAGGATTGGAAGTGGAAGAAAATCATATTCGTTGGTGATTTGTTAATGCAAGATTTATGGCATGAAGTCTAGCTTATTGACTTTCATACGGTTCGAGAGCTTTTATTTTAATTTTTATTATTTGAATAGTCAAATAGATCAGTTTTTATCCATAGCCCACCTTTTAGCTTCTTACTAAGGCAAAATTGGTTTTTCACATGGTTTGGTTAAATCAGTGTTGCCCGAACTATGTGTCGCAGCACACTAGTGTGTTGGAGAAATGTTTTTGAAGATGGCACGAGCCGCATGAAGTGTATGACTTCGTTCATAAAAAAACCCCTAAGGTCTGCCGTCGCTCGAAAATTTTGGGCAACTCTGGGTTAGACTATGTATACCCGTTACACGTTGCTCTTGAAAACAGCTTAGATTCAGATTTAACTACAACATCGTCTTGACCAAGATTCTTAAATCCCTGCCAGAAAATCACGCTATAAAAAAAGCATTGTCTACAGCACATAAATCTCTTTCATAAATTACCTGTACAAGCTTTTTTACTCATCCATACAATAATTCCATTACAGAGATCATCTAATAATTGAGAATGATGAATATCTCATCGGAAAAATATTTATTCATGCAAGTTACAATCAGCCAAAGTTTGCAAATGACATCGCAATAATTGAACTAGATGTGGAACTCTCACGATCTAAAAATCCAAAAGCATCTGATCCACAGCAAATTACAAATGCAATTTGCTTAGATAAGTTAGAGGGAAATGCTCAACAAAGCAAATCAAGCATTGCAATAATGAAAACTGAACAAGGACCGCTCCGACATGCTAATATTGCACTCATTCCAAACAATCAGTGTAGTATGTTTTTCGATCAACAATTTACGGATTTAACTTCGAGTCAATTTTGTGCAAATATCCATTCTAATGAAACGGACATTTCATCATTCATTGGAGCAATTATAATGACATACGATAACGTGAGACAACAGTATTCATTAAAAGGATTCACAACAACGAGTGTCAGGACGGAACAGTCGTTTGATGATAGTAAACCATACATTTTTACAGACGTTGAGCAATACTTGACTTGGATAAAGGCAGCTTTAGGTGGTAGCGTTTTACAGAATAATTTAATAACCGATAGCCCTCGCGATGATGATGATGATGATGCTCCTGACACAAAAATCCTCGAAAGTCTATATGAATGTCCTTTGAGTACTGGAAATGGACGATGTGTTTTAGAAGAAGACTGTAAATTATACTCAATGGAAATAGATCAAAGATCTGAATATGAAGAGTTTTTAAAAAGCCTGAAGTGCTCATACAGAAATGATCAATTATTGGATGGAGTTTGCTGCCCTGAACAATTTATCAACACAACATCCCTACAAGCTCCTGATTTTAATGTTAGATTTGAAGACACGAGAACTAGACGACAAGGAAGAGATTTATTAGATATGAATCAATGTGGTCTAGTTGATCCATCGAGACGAATTGTTGGTGGACGGTGAGTTATTTATTCCTCTCAAAAACTACAATTTCTAATGCTGAGTAATAAATTTTCATCCATACAGGCAAGCGGATTTAAGAGAATTCCCATGGTTTGCTCTACTAAAGTACAAAGTTGGACGTCTAGATAAATTTACATGCGGTGGTTCATTAATCTCCTCACGTTACGTGTTGACCTGTGCACATTGTATTACACAACTACCGAGTGGATATGAGGTTGCTGGCGTCAGATTAGGTGAATACGATCTAACAACAAATCCTGATTGCAAAAATGCTAATTATGATGGCGAGAGTGAATGTAATCCACCTATCTTGGATGTTGATATTGAGTCATTGATACCGCATTCACGATATAACAATCCAAAGCACAGTAACGATATTGGATTAGTAAGGATGGCACAAAATGTTGAGTTTAAAAGAGGAAGTATGTTGATGAGAGTTTTATAAATATTTGGATTTTATGAACTCTAATTTTGTGATGGAAATGACAGTTTTTAATTTTGATAATTGACAACTAGACCACACTACGCTCTAGGATCTGAGGTTTCTGTCTGAATTCGTTGAGGTTTTCAGCACTCTAAAGATTGCGAAATGAAATTGTAGCTTTAAACACTTTGATTGATATTTTATCAATTTTTGAGTCTTGTTGCTTTGGCAATTGCTCAATAAATCTATCAGCTAGAAACCATGTAAAATGTTTTAAAGCCCATAAAAAAATGTTCATCGCCGTAAAAAATTCTTCGTTTCTCTCCCTTTTTTTATCAATTTCACATGTGAACATGTCGGTGTGAAACAAAAGCTTTCATTTCTATTGTCACAGAGTTTATTTTAGATTATCTTCAATCTCAATTTATATTTTTTTTCTTCTACGTTTTTCTCGTTTGTTTTTACAGGCATTATTCCAATTTGTCTACCCATCAATAACGAGATGCAACAAACACTTACAAATAAATCTACGGTTGCCGGATTTGGATTTACTGAACATGGTCGTGACTCGAACGTCCTCATGAAGATTGTAGTGCCAAAGGTTCCGAGAGAAACATGTCAATCATTTCATCGTCCTTCAATTCAACTGTCGGAAGGTCACGCGTGCTATGGCGGAGAAGGAATCATTGATAGTTGTAAAGGTTTGACAAATCACCCCTTTGTGGATGGTCAGTTCATGTTAAATTACAGATGAAATTGTTCTTTTTTTATACAGGCGATAGTGGATCACCATTATTGATATACTCACTAGTTAATGGAAAGTTGAAGGCAGTTCAAACAGGCATTGTAGCATCAGGTCATACAGAATGTGGACGAGGCGTAACTGGTTTTCCAGGCATTTATACTGATGTACCTCATTATATGAGTTGGATACTTGAAAATCTTACTGAAAATTAAATTAATATTATGTATCGCACGTACTTTAATTAAGCATTTTTATTCCTCGTTTTGTATACGTTAATATTGAAAAATAAAAGAAATTTACAGATACACACAAGAGCTGTGGTAATTAAAATTACCGCATATTAATTAATTATTCTGCTTCCATTCAAATTGGCTTTTACATCATACACATCATGTGACGATAACGATGATGTTGCCGTATAATGTGAGCTTTTACAGATATTTTAAAATTTAATTAGGGCGTGGGAAGCTTCAACACCCTTCAGCAGATTTTTTTTCGTCTTCGTAATTTGAAGTGACTTGAATGTTCACTTTGGCTATTAAAAACTTCCAATGTTCTAAACTATTGTGTACCACATAAATGTTAAGCATTTAAAACCTTTTATAAGGTTTTTAAACAAAACCATACAAATTCTTACAAAACCTCACAAATTATAAAGGAATTTTACGGTTCTCTCCTGTGTACAGGTGCCTGTATCGCAATCCTGTTCAAAACTCTTTAAGATTCATGAGTTTTTACAAAAAAGCTATAGTTCCTTGTGTCATTATGCATTTCTTCCAATTAATTCACTTCAAAAATTCAAAAATTGCGCTCTAATCATCAGCAAAATACCAACTTAGTATCCTAATGTTATTTTTTTGTTCTCAACGTATCATTTCACTCTTTCCGCTTTTCTTTTCCTTTGAAAAAAAAGAGGAAGAAGAAAAAATTATAAAAGCTACTTCCATCAACGTATCCCCATGCTCATACTCCGTTATACAGATTCATACATAAATGGAATATATTCAACTCACATTTAAGTGAAAACAATGCGAAAAATGCTTCCTCATTCATATCCAGTCCTTACTCAACATATATTCATTGCTGACTTCTCGCAACACATGTTTATTATGCACAGATGTTGGAATGAATAAAATACACATACACACATAACAAAGTTTATTTTTGTCTGTAGATTCACTCATTTCACTGATATGTACGGCTGTTAGCACTGTGTCTCGCGGGTTGTATTTATTCTTCTTAATTTCATAACGGTGCGCATTTCAATTCTGGTAAGTAAACATTTGCAATCTACCTCCTTTTTGATTCATTTTCTTTCTCTTTCTCACTCTCTTATTTTTGCCTTATTTTACGTCGACATTTGCGTATGAATTTTATGTGAATAATTTTCAACTGGAAATGATATTCACATAAAGTGTTGACTCGAGGAATTTAATGAAATCATTAGATGCTGAAAAATTTGGTTCGATTTTCTAAAGTTTTTCGGTTTTGATTTTTAAAAATTCAACAAACCCTGAAATAAACTTTGAGCTCTTTAAAATGCTGAAATTTCAATTTCATTCCATATCTTCCTTTTGTTTTTATATTCTCATTTGCATCAAATGAAAAGCACGGATGCGACACAAACGGAAGTTGTTTCAAGTGCACTTTAGTTGGTATCTCAGCTCAATAGCACAACATTACATTCAAACGTGACATGATGTGGTGTTAAGTGATGTAGAAGGCAAAGCATTGTACGTGAAAGTTGCTTTTTCGTGGCATTATAAAAGCGAAATTTTGCACGCTGACATGCCAACAAATTTCCTTCTGTATTCAAAAAGCATACGTTCCAATTTTTATGCACGTGAAATTTCGTTTTCTTTTTCATTGACATTCAAATTAGAACTGTGAGTGTACATACAACGGCATCTCTAGATATGTGCTGCGCTGAAAAATATGAAGAAGAAAAAAATAATTGGTTTTAGAGGTAGTTCCAAGAAGATTACAATAAGATATTGAGAGACAAAAACAGTTGTTCAACATTAATTTCATGCTTTCTTATTTCAGAATAAATATCAACGCAAATGTATCAAATTGAAGTCCAATGTCAATGTTAATGTGATTCAGTATTACAGTTGCTTGCTGTTAGAGTTAAAAAGTCGGGGCTGATGGATTTCATTAGAAATGGTTGATTAAGCGTTAAGCGCATTTTAAAAGCTTTCAGTAAATTATTAATTGAAATTCTTTAGACACCTTCAAGTGGAGGCATTCGCGGAAAATAATGTTTATGGGGAGGGGGGGTCAAAAAAAATTGTAAACCCTCGTTTGAAGTGGTCGGTTTAGAGGAGTGTCATTAGTTTTCAAATGTGTTCAATTTACACTGAATATCGGAGACTCAAAGGAAGTGACAGAAACAACAAAAGATAATAGTGGGTGGGGGGGGGGGGGTGTATTAGGGATAACCTTAACAAAAACAAAGATATTTATTTTGTCACTCAAATCCCCCTCTGGCCACGCGCCTCACATACATTTTAAGTCCAGTTACAGTAATTTCTCGAATCTAACAACACAGCCTGACACCCAGACAAACAAACTCACTCACTTATTTTGTTAAAATCTCAAGATATTAATAGAAGGACTTCCCAACAAAATAAATATCACGTATATGCTGAATGTATTGTATAGAACTTTTTTTCCTCCTTTTTCATTTCCATTTTTGTTTATTGTAATTTTATCATATACTTGACATTCAGAGCATTAATCAAGTCCTTGATGCTGCAAAAATAAATATATAACTCTATTTAGTTTCATTTTTTTTGTATCAGTGTGTCTATATGCAGCACATGAGAATGGACAAAATTATTATTATTATTGTAGCTTAATTCAGTGTATTTCCATACAATTTCGTTATTATATTTAGCATATGCAATAAAGCTTCTGGGCTCCTCACAATTATATTATGTACATATGTGTAAACAATACACAGACATCATACGCCATACAAAAAGAGCAAACTGAAATTGAGGTTTGTTTGATTTTATGATTAACTGTGGTCAGACTAATACTGGATAATTAAGCGCATTGCGTTGGTCTTGTTTATTTTTGCTTCATTTTTCGGAGCTCCCTTACTTCTCATCCTTCCTTTCAATTATTTTATGTAAACATATGAAGACTTGTGTTTTATGTCCGTATTTTCATTTCATTATCAGATGGAATTTTTTTTTTTATGATGATGATGATGATGATAAAAGATGAGCAGGTAGGCATATTAATAATTTGATGTTCTTTCGGCAATGAATTGTTTAAAATGCCTAATTTGAAGGTTATCAAATCTCAATAAAATGTATGTGTTCGGGCGAAAATCTTATGTTTGGAAATAAACAAATATTTGTCTGGGGCCGTTCAATTATGACGTCCAAAATTAACGGTCATTTTTCAAAACAAACAATGAATTTCCATTGTTCTTTTCTGTCTGACCCCCCCCCCCCCCCCCCACAGGACGTCATAAGTGAACGAGGGGCCTTGTGAAGTATATAATTTGTATGAAAAAAAAATTTTTATTTAATTTATTCTTTGAATAAAAGTTTCGTTTTTCATAAAAACATTTGCAGCTAATTATGAATCCGTTGGGTATTCTAAAACTATTTTCTCATCTAAATTATGTTTTCTATTGCAAAGCTTTTACGATATACCTAATGTGGTTGCAAGAGTTTTGAGTTTGTTACTGACTATAATAATTTTAATATGTTGTAGGGAAACTAGATAATAATGAAAATGAATGGTAATGATGTACTTTCTGTACATAAATTTCCCCAGTCCAGCTTCTTTAAATAATAAACCAGATTTTCTGTAAAAAATTGTGTTAATTATAAATTAATCAACCTTTGAGAATGATAGAAAGTTCAAAAGAATATTCAATTTCTGAAAAGCTTAAAATATCACAGAATAGTTCACAAATTCAGTTCATCCTTTTATTAAACCATCTTATCTCTTTTTAGAGCACAACAGACTTTTTGAGCTTCAAGTTTCCTTTATTTGGTCACAATAAATGACATTCCAACGCAAATTAAAGCAACGATTGCACATACATTATAAGTAAAGTAGCAATATTCATCCAATAAATTTCCAAGTATGTTTGATGACACAGTACTTCCAAATCGTCCGACTAGCATTGATACGCTCACAGCCATAGATCTAATGATGGAACGATTTCAATTTAAACTTTGAGGTTATGTTGTTTGCTTGAATAAACTCAACAATTTTAAGTACCTTAAGTATGTAGGGAAAATATCGCATGCAGCACCATTAATTAGTGTAATATTCATTCCAGCACTAATTATTGTCAAAATAAAGCTAATAGTGATAAACATTTGATTATAGACGAATGGTAAAATAAATCCAAAAGTGCTTGACAAGATGAATGTAAAAGCTAGAAAATTAGACATAATTGAATTGACTAAGGGGTCGTTCACTTATGACGTCCGAAATTAACGGTCATTTTTCAAAAAGGAACAATGGATTTCCAGGAATTTCTATTGTTCTTTTCTCGCTGAACACCCCCCCCCCCCCCCCTGGACGTCATAAGTGAACGGCCCCTAAAAGCTGAATAATGTATTCTTACCAATTATATATTTTCTTCGTTCTCGATTCATGACGGCTGCTATGACAACATACATACAGATGTAAACAGATCCAAGAATTATCATATTTTCGTACACACTTGAGTCAACAGAATCGTTGCAAGTCTAATAATTATTGAAAATTGAAAGCATAATTAATTAGCACATGCGAATTTTGAGCATTAGCTTTAAGGGAAGTCTGTAAAAGCCCTCAACTCTGCTTAGTTATTTTCAATAAATTAAAGCTCATCCCAACCTCATTATTTGCTGTTATGTTCTTGTCTTGATGAAATTTAAATCCCGCAACATCACAAACATGATAAACACATTCACCGCCTCCATCACAAGTCTCATCTCGATATTTCGAAAGTTTATTTAGTATGTCTGGAAGGAATAATCCTAATCCAGCAGATATGAAGAATGTTCCAAACTGAAGCGCACAACATGCTATGAATAGAAAGAGGTAAGGTGGCTTGATGAGTGGAAGTGTTTGATCTATCAATGAAATTACTATTCCTTTTCTGAGAAATACAAAACTAATTAGTAAAGTTGTTGGCAGTTCAAAATCTACTTGATTTTACAATCCTTTGAAATCATTTCCAGTTCCTGCTTCATCAGTTTTCAATGCTATGATATCAAATTTTGCATGCTTTTTATTTCCTTTGTTAACTTTGTGAATCCATTCAACTGCTTGATATGCTTCATTATTTTTTCTAATTGAAAGCAAATATTTTGGACTTTCTGGTAAACGAATGCATAAAAGCCCTCCAATAATTCCGGGAATTGAGTATATGATCAAACCTAATCGCCATGGTCGAAATTCGTATCCAGAATAAAGAGCGAATCGCCACTCATATCCATTTAGTAGATGTGCAATCACTGTAAAGTTAAATAAGAGAAATTTTGACAGCTACTTGAAAATTATTAATAGAACTTACCTGGAATTCCTGTGTATGCTACTCCAATGAAAACACCAACCCAACTTAAAATTGCAGGTCTATATTTTGATGTATTAAACTCTCCAAGGTAAGCCCACATGACTCCAGAATATCCACCAAGACTGTAGAACAGAAAATAATAAATTACTTAAAGTACGTAGACATCAATTTTAAGGAGGACATGTGGACTTAAGGAGTTTAAAGCCCTTTTGTCAATATTTTTCCAACGGCAATAAAACTGTGCTGCTCATAATTATTATAATGTAGGTCACGAAATGTAATATTTAAATATCTTTTATCCTTTCATAAATGCGTTAAATGTCACAAAAAATTTCTTTGGAATCACGATGAGGAAGAAAAGCTTAGTCACTATGTGCTAATCAAAACAGAAGATTAGTAAAAAAAAAATTTCATAAAACAGCTTGTTGCTGTTCCTTATCAGAATTGTCAACTCATCTGACTTGAAGGTGTGATTTCAACATTATCATGATTTATTGCGTTATTTATGTGTTGATTTTTTTTTCTTCTACTTAGTAATGAAGTATGTGTGTACTCACAATATACCAGTTATAAATCGGCAAGCCATAAAAATTGTAACATTCTGAACAAAAACAGCAATGAATGTAAAAACTTTTGCAAACAGTAAAGTCCAAATTATAACATATCGTCGACCTTTTGTGTCTCCTAAGTAGCCAAATATGTAGCTTGAGAATACAATGCCTGTAAAATTAAAATTAGAAATATTAATGCGTGTTGGTTACAAGAATTTATTTTTTAAGGTTGTTGTGGTGTTCCTGAATGTTAATATATGTTGTCTACAAAATCAGGACATGGACTTTTCATTTAAAATCAAATGAAATTAATTGTCAATTCTAAAGTCTATAAATTCAACAAATTCATATTAGCTTCAAACAGTAAAACTGGATGTGAAAATTCTTTTGGCTTAATGAAAAATTTAGAAACTGTAGAATGATTTTGAGAATTCATTACCAAAGGACAATCTCGTATTAATTCCTGATTTTCATAGGAAAATGTATTCAAAAAGCCATGCATGATTGGGAAGCTTGTTAACCCAGATAGTAATAAATTTGTTTCTGAATTTCGCGGTATTTTACTTTTTCAACCCTGCTTATGTGATAGAGCAAACTATCATATTTCATAGCTCAATCAGAATTTTAAGAATACATTACCAAAAAATACCATTGACGTCAGGAGTCCTTTTGTTGCACCATTTAAATGAAAATCACAAATTGCTGCTGGAATGAGATTTCCAATGCCCATTGTTTCAGTTATTACGTCCATAAGCACAAAACCCATTGCAAAAAGCACTTCGATCTGCACTTGCCCGAATCCTAGGAAACAAATCTATTTTTATCATTTTGACTAGCTGCAGGATATGGTCATGCAAACCTATATCTTCCAGAGCCTCTTCATATGTAACTATGCGACCTTTATTATTTTTCTCATCCTCAATATGAATAATGTTCCCTACCATTTTTAAAAACTACTTAATTTCTAGACTTGTCGAGCCTAACTGAACTCCAATTCATAATACTTAAATGTAACAAATTCTTTGGATAAGCAATTATTTTATTTTCTTTCATAAATGATAAGATATAAGATGGACTGACACAAGGTCTTTATAGATAATTAAGATTTCTCTTTTTGCTGCCACATTGTGTGTAACTTCTTTTGTTTACACATTTATGCTCGTGCTTACGATAAATTTCTGCACTAGTATCTTTGAGGAAACGCAGTTGATAAGAATATTTACTAATTATATTTCATGATGTTATCTCTTCAATAAATCTTACTTTACAGTTTAAGTAATTAAACGATGAATAATCATCTATCAAAAAATACTTGATGGAACAGCTGTGAAGTTTGATTTAAATAATTTAAGGAATACTTTAATAGTTTAAATCTAATTTTTTTCACCAAAATTGTAGTTCATTGATTTTTAATAAATTTGAATTCAATTAAGAAATAAACTCAAATACACAAGTTTTAAGATCCAGTTAACATCCAGTCTTTATTAATCTAATTAGATCCAACACTTTGCTCCATACAATTAGATTCAATAAAGATCCAGAACAAATTAATACAATAAAATAAGATACAATCTGTAAAAAGAAGGAACATAATCAACCTTCATAGCCAAAAAAATATTTATCAAACTGACTGAACAATTTTGCAAGAAAATATATTTCTTCTTTTAAAGTGCTGATCGAAAAAAAACATCATTTTATGAAGCTGGAACTGATGATTTACAGCTTCGTAAGCATTCCCAATCAATACTTATAGTTTTGTAAAGACTTGTGAATTACATGCTTCATCAACTTATGAAATTGTTACAATATTTATGTTCTGAAATGCTTGATCTTGAAATTTTTTTCTTGGAACTTCCCCATAAGATATAGAATTATTCCGAATAATTGATGAATCGTGAACTTGAATCAAATTTACATAAAATATTCATGTTTTCAAAATAAAACATCATTTCTTGTGTTTGTTTAGTCTGAAATTTCTGCTAAAGGCATTAATTCAGATAAATTCGAGATTCTTCATTATTGAAAAAGAGACAAATGTTTACGAAATGGATGTAAATAGATTTAATAAAGTTTGTGGAAAAATATAAAATAAATTAAACTTCAGTGACGGAGGTTTTGTGATTTAAGTTTAAACAGTGCCAGTGCTATGCCAATGTTTTGCTTAAAATCGTTCTAAAGATTGATAGAAAAAAACTAATTTCACATAAATTCAATGAAGCTAAAGCATATCAGTAGATTATCTTTGGTAAAGAACAAAGTACAAAATTATATTGAAATAAGTTTGCAAATCCCAAAAGAAATATTTAATAAATTGACCTTAGTGCTTGGTTTGCATAGATAACATGTTATAATATTCTCAATAACTCTCTCGATAAATCATCTACATTTATTCAAGTCTTTTGCATGGAGCCATAAAGGGATCTCTGAAACAAACTCATGAAATTGTTGCTTAAAACAAAACCTAGTTGACATTTCTGCCACATCTTAGGCTTCTAAAAATCAATCTCTCCATCACCTATTGCCTAATCGATTCAAATTGTAATACAAAGAAGAAAACAAGCTTTTCAAGTTGATCGATTTCTTATGCACGTGTACAGTAACATACACAATATTTTGGTAAAGAAAAAAAAAATACAACATAAATTTGCTTACATGTCAATTTGCTTAGTCAACATTATGGCTTGTTTAATTTGACATTTTAAACTTGTTCTGTTCTTATTGAACGAAAGGAGAAAAAAAAATCAAAAACATTTTGTGTAATTTTGCGTGTACGAAAGCTATCTATTATCATACGCCAATACCAAAGATGTATGTTCATGATATACGTGGTGAGGAGGGAGGAACATGTTTATTTACTGAATATCAAATTTTTTGTGTGGCTGTATTGTAATCTTCTCATTTTGTGAAGAGGAATTAAAATTTACAAAGTATTAAACTTAAAAAAATGAAAATCGATTTTTAATTCATGATTGATTTTTCATTTTAATTTCTAAACTGATTGGAAGCAACAAACATCGCAATAAAGAAGGTCAAGATTTAAAATTGTAAGAGCACTCTTTTATCCTCGATTTTTAAAAATAATTCAAAATCATTTAATTTTAGCCAAAGCTCGAAGTCGATAGGATTCGAGTCGACTCGAGTTGACTTCGAGCTCTGCTTTTAGCTTGATTGAAGACTTTTAAAAGTCGACTTAATAAATGATGTTCAACTTTTGACAGTCATCTGTAACGACTTGCTAGAATGATCGCTCAAACAATTTGAATTTAAAGCTGTCATTCCTTAGATTTTACTATTACTTACTTACTGTAACCATGATCCTAAATATGGCTTAGATTACAACAAAAGGCTTTCCATTTGATTCTGTTGCTGAAAGATCTTACAATTGCTACTAGCTTCAACTTCTCTCAAAAGCTCTGCATAATATATTTATTAAATCTCATTTTTGTTTGATCCTAGGAAATAATAACTTTTAATCTAGCGTATCCCTGTACAATATATTGATGTCATGACCTTTCCCCCCCTTAATGTTAAGCGTGAAAAAAAGAAAAATAATTTAATATGATGTTCCTGTCATGACAATATCATAGAATGAAACAATTTTTTTCATCGTTTCATAAACCATTCAACGTCATAGTAAACGAAATGATATTGCCGTTCTGTTCTACATATTTATCATAATTCACTGTTTAGTGACATGTAAATTAAGCTACAGAGTTTATAGGTAGGTGACGACGAGATAAAGTGTAAAATATTAGACAATTTCATCAGCAACGTTGTTATCACTACTCATTGTCTCCTCGTTTGCATGCACAATACAAAAGGAGCAATGATGGATCAAAGTTTCGTGAACCATGCAAATTTATACACACACACATCCTTCACATCATGCTCTGTTCACATTCCATTGAATAATCTTTTTTTGTATGCATGTGAACAATAAAATGTGATTAATTCGATGGCAATAAACCGACTTCACCTCATGAATTCAATTTTAAAACTTAGACTTACTGATGAACTTCAAGTGCAGCATTTGTTTTAAATTATGTGACTTAACATCATATGGTGATGAATTGAACTTCATCATCATCATCATTACACAAACAAAATGCTTTGACCCAATTGAGGTCTTGAAATCCACTCGATAAATTCTATTTTTTTTTTCAAGCTTTTTCCTTCCTACACAACTTCAATTTTTCATTTTTTTTCCTGCTTCCTTTGTGCTCAACGAAGAAGAAGAAGAAAAGTTCCACATAATGACAATATGAGGAAGTGAAGCCAAAATAAATTGCAAAATGCTTGATGTCATAGCAGATGTGCCATCATCGTTTGATACTATTTATAGTGAACAATCGACTTAGCATGATGTGAAATTTTTATATATGAAAGAATACAATAAATTATGGCAACAGGAAACCTGATTTTTCTTATCCTGAATAACCTACGGCAACTTTTAAGGGATACTCTTTAGTTAAAAGCTTTCATAACAATAGATCGTCAATACAATTGATGCTTCTTTCTTCTTTTCTTTCTTATACAAATGAGATTTAATGGTTAAAAAGTTTTGAGGCGATTCCAATTTTCTTTACGAAATATGATCCGATATATTCATGTAATTCCTTTTTTTTTGAAATCTTGTTATAGAAAGTTTAAAGGCGTTTTTGACATGATTTTGGGAATTTATGGTGCAAAATTGGAAGATTTAATTAGAATAAAGTTTGATGGTCGAATAAAATGTGCTAAACATTTTAATTATTTATAGCTAACAGCCATAAATGTATTTTAAATTTGATGAAGAATATGTGTGCCGTAGGTTAAGCCTAAATGCCGATGAGTCTAAGATTATGTTACCATCCAAATTAGACAAGCAAAAGAAAAATAAATGTCAAAAGTCATAGCTTGATGTTTCATATTATTTTAAAAAATAAATTCAGATCCTTAGTTTCAGATCTTTACCTTTACAATGTTTAAATCTCAAATTCGTTGACACGAAAAATCATAATTAAATTTCCGAGAAATGTTTTTCTTTTAACAAAATTCAAAAGAAAAGTTTATCCGTTGGGATGGAAATTTTAAAATTTATTTTATTTTTTTGATAAAAGTTTAGGTTTATGTAGGGTGACCATCTGCGTAGTTTTACAACGGACAGTCCTGTATTTCAAAACCCTGTCCTGTATAAATTTGAAAACTTTGTTCCAGGTCCTGTATTTTTTTCACGAAAATTTCCGTTAATTTTCGAATTTTACTCTATGTCCTGTATTTTTCGAAAAAATTTACCAAAAATCCTGTATTTTCATGAAAATTAGATGGTAGCCCTAGGTTTATGGTTTATGTTGCTAAATTAGTTCTTATTCTTTTTTTACTTTTAATTATTGGATTTTCAACAAAATGACGTCATTTAAAATCCTACCTACCGAATTTCATAAAGTTTCATTTGTTGTGGATTTATTTGTTATCAAGTGCATTTTCCATAATAGTTTTGGTTTAATAACATTTACTGGAAAGTCTACATACTTGACTTTTCTATAGATTGAATTGTCAAAAGTTCACTTGAAGATTGACAAAAATATCGAATTCAGCTTAATAAATAATGATGTTTGAGTTGACAAAAAGGGAGGAAATGTGTCATTTTACCTAGAATGTCGTTTACCTTTTTTTTTACATCGAAATCGAACCACCTCTTTGATATTTATAAAGGGTTGTATGCTTGAGACATCCTATCATATTTTCCATTCATTTTTTAGTTTTTTTTGTGATGATGCTGACGACATGGAAGCAACATTTTGATATTGATTGAAAATATAGCAAAAAAGGAAATAAAAAATAGAGGATAATGTCATTTTATCATCGTACATTGTATTGCCAAGTTGGTTGCTTGGAAAGGATACAGATGAATTTAAAAAATAATGATCAGCTAATTTTACTGAATCCCTTTAAAATCACCAGTTGGTTTAAATTGAAAGGTATGAAAAAATT